TTAATCTTTACCTATGTGGAGCACCCTCCATTTTATCCATTGATGATTAACCTCATTGAGAGCCGGGCGATAGCCTTAAGTTAAAAAGCACTGGCTGAGATTAGTTAGTGTTCCAATCTGAGATTCTGCCACCCAGGGGACATGTATGAGACCAGAAAATACATATATGGCTCCTGGGAATCTCCTTCTCAGGCCAATTTTAGTTCAAATTGGACATATTCCTGGATTTTTAATATAAAGAAACAAGTTTTCACTATGATTTTTGGTAGTGCTGCAATTAGACATTTTTATTGGTTATTTGCTTACTTGTAATTTTAGCAGCCTAAGCTGTACTATAAAAAAACAGAAGGTACTTTTTCAGCAGCCACTGTTTTTCTAAAAGCTTTCCATGAATAGTGTTTCCATCAAAATAATGATTGTTGTTATTCTTAATGGACATGAATACACTATATTTACTATTATTTTGCAAACTCTAGGTCCTTCTACTATAGTAACAAAATGAGGATGTTCTTGAGTTTTTGTTGATTTAGGGGGCCACTTAGACCTGCTTGTTCAGAGCCCAAATCTGCCCAGCCTTCAAGTCTGACCCTGGAGTCTGTTTAAAGCCCGGGGATGGACTGACAATTAGAATGCACTCCCTAGCCCCATCAGGGAAGAATGAGTGTGCTTCTCCCGGTTTTTCTTACTCGAGGGCTGGTGCTCTGACTCCCAGGTATGGGCCTGTTTCCTTCACCAGACACAGTGCTCTTGTTAGCTACCCGCATTTAAAGGATATGCAGTGTAATAAAAGTTACACGGTTCTGTTGTTGGCAGCACTCATCTGATAAGAGTGTCATAACATGAATAATATGTGTGAAAGAACTGAAAAGCTGAGGGATTATTCTGATATGGAAACTGAAAACAAAATAATGCTCTGATTTGCCACAGCCACTGCCACATATAAAAATCGACTTTGGCATTTTATATTTTTATTCCCAAGTTACAGAATTAATCCAATGTTTTATTTTGAAAAGAGTGAGTTTCAGAGCACAAAGAATTCTGGAGTTAGCTGTGGTCATTTGCCAGGCCTGTGGGGATAGACACCCCCTTTTAGCAGACCTCGGAGTTGGCAGCAGATGTTGAAACATTGCTGAAAGAGAGAGAAGAAATTCAGTCCTCCTGATTCTGGCAACCATCATAGTATTTGGTAGGACAAGTATAGCTTATTTGTGCCATCATTTGAAAAGGAGAGAAAAGTGAATCCCAGAGACGTTAAATGAATTCCTATTATTTTATCCATTGTGCTAGGCCTCCAGAGAGTTACAAGAGAGTTTCAAAGGCACAATCCCTTCCCTAAAAGAGGTTCTAATCTAATAGGAGTTAAAAAATGTATAGTCTGATAGTGGTAACACATGAAAGGTAAACTCACAGCCCCAGGTAACGTGGAAATGTGAAATAAGGGACACAGATCATGTGTAATAAAGAGTGGAGAGTGTGGTGCTTGCTAAGGATCACACTGGTCAGTGACCTTCATTAGGAGATGAGGGATGAGAAAGAAGGTAAAGGTAAGGGGCGCCTGGGTGGCTGATTCATTAAGGATCCAACTCTTGATTTCAGCTCAGGTCCTGATCTCAGGGTCCTGAAATAGAGCCCCGTGTTGGGCTCCCTGCTCAGCAGGGAGTCTGCTTGAGATTCTCTCTCTCCCTCTCCCTTTGCCCCTCTTCCCCCTGCTCTCTGTCTCAAATAAATAAATCTTTAAAAAAAAAAAAAAAAGGAAGAGGTAAGTGAAGTTGGAATAACATGAAAGGAAAAGCAGAAAATGTCGGGACAGGAAAACATAGGGCAGGACAAGAAGTAAGCCCATCTGGAAGGGAGGAGGGGAGGACCGTATAGAAAAGTAACAAGCAGTAACACTGCAGTGTTTCTTGATGGCACCATATGACAGAGCATCTTGAATGCTTGGACCAGAGTCCCTGGAAGCTTTTGAGCAAGTGCGGCATAGTAACTATTTTAAATAAAACACTTCGTTGACAGCGATCAAAATAGATTGTAGTGGGGAGACAGTAGATAGGAAGAGAGACCAGGGAAAGTATTTCTCTATTTGCTGATTTTAATAGGAAAATTTAAATGTTCAGAATTCTTCTAATTTACTCTATTTTCAAACTAAATATACTTTGCAGATCTTTATACTACAATATAAACATTTTGAACTCTTAAGATTTCAGGCTAAAATTCAATTTGTGTTTCTTCTCACCTTGAATAACAAAGAGGCACACTGTGTAATGAATGGATACCCAAACCTCTAACCATTTGTCCTAGGACAGGCTGATGCAGTTGATGCCAGAGTAAGTGGGTAGCTACATGGAGGGGAGAGGTTTGTGCAAAATGAGTACATGAAAGTCTGCTCACCTTGAAGCTCTGGATTCCTGGGACTCAGGGTCAATCTTGCTCGGCAATAGACATGAAAATGGACACTGGCCCATGTGTCCCATGGCCTTCTGAGAACCAGTATATGGAGGATAGAGAAAAGTTGGACAGTTAATGAAATGCAGTATTCTATACTGTTATCATTCAACCATCTGTTCCTTCATTTAGCAGAAAAGTGAGTGTATTTACTATAAAGAGACTTGGCATTTTAAGCTTATCTAAGAAATAAGAAGACACCCTGAAATATGTCCCTTGGGTAACTAGACATCTGCTTAGAGAGATGGGACTGATGAGGCTGTGTTAAGATAGATACGTCTGATTCTGAATCCTACCAGTTGGCTAAGGAACCCAAGCTCAAAACTGGGGCCCTCTTAGTGTTGAGGAATAGGGTGTGACCTCATTCCTAAGGAATAAGAAATCAAAAAGGAACAAAGGCAGGCAGATCAAAGAAGTGGCAAGGGACTTTAGAAGATCAGAAGGTAGCTCCCTAAACTCTGGAGTAATTGGCTTTATATTATATTTTCATCCTGTCTTATCTCTAATCTGGGAAGTGGCTACCGGACAGCCAAGTGGGGGAAAGAGGAGCAACGCAGTGATGAAGGGCTAGTTGAGGCAAGGGAGGTCAGGAGCATGAGTGGGGGTGGGGAGCAGTGGACACACCTGGCAATGGGCAGGAATCTTTTCCTGTGAAGAGAATGTTGTGAGATAAACTAAGTGAAATTTTAGCAGTTATGAAAAATTTTACCTTTTTTTACATTTTAAACTACTAGAAATAAGGTACAAATTAAGCACTTTTTTTTAACCAAATCTTATCTCACTATTATTATGTCAAGGCTTTGTTCCCATGAGAAAGCTTAGGGACATTTTCTCCAGTGTAAAGTACAAATCATACTTAGGGATCCTAATAATCATTTTAAATAACTTTATGTTTTAATACTATATATATAGTTTGTATTAATAATTACTAGCTTAATTACAGGTTAAACTTGCATAATGCTTCATTTTTTTATAAAAACACTTTCCCAGGGCACCTGGGTGGCTCAGTCAGTTAAGCATCTGCCTTTGGCTTAGGTCATGATCCCAGGGTCCTGGGATCAAGTTCTGCATTGGACTCCCAGCTTGGAGGGGAGTCTGCTTCTCCCTCTGTCCCTCCCCGCCCCCCTGCTCGTGTTCTCTCTCTCTCAAAAATAAATAAATAAAATCTTTAAAAAAAAAAAAACACTTTCCCATATATCCTCTCATCTCAGTTTCCTAATATCTAAAGCTCAGAGAGAAATTCTATTTCTCATTTTAGAGATAAGAATTCTGAAACTCAATTTGTTATTAATCAGTACTTTTATTGAATGATTAAACATAAGGGAATCATGCTATGCTCTTTATATGTATTATCTCATTTAATCTTCATGATTAAACTTTGAGAATGTTAACTTCTCTATTGCCTCTGGTTCTAAAATACCACAAGCTGAGATTTGATTGGTTCCTAAGTCTGTGGTTTGAAATCACTACAGTTTACTGAAGATGGGATTTACCTAAGCTCACTGAGCTAGTAAGTGACAGAAGAGGAAGTAGAAACAAACTATTTGCTCATAATTTTCCCATCTAACCCTAATGAAGAATTTTTATATAATGGATAATCAATCTTAAAAAAACCATTGCACATTGATTTTTAAAGTATACATTTAAATAGTTTGTGTAAAGAATTCTTATGTTTTTGGAAATTCTAAGGATTTAAATGTTTTAAGCAACCCTGTTGTCTTTACCATTCCTTCATATATTTAGCAGAATTCACTAGGTGGAAAAGTTACATGGAAATACTTAGCTAGAATTAAAATCAAGTTACTGAGCAATTTTGCATTGAAATATGGGCATTCAGTTCAATTCAGTGAGTTAATTTTGAGTGCTTAGTGTGTAATGTGCTTCAGTCTACACAAAGATAAGTAGGCAGTATCCCTCTCTGAAGAAATTTTCAGTCCTTCTTTACAGGATTATATTTAATAGATCTGAATGTTATTGAAAGAGATCGTTGAGATTCCTAAGTGTGATTTCTATTCTATTTTGGGAGAAGGGTATTGGAAGAGGGAGAAATGGTTGAGTGCAGATTGAGGTATATACTCATAAAACTTAACACAAAAAAGAATCTAACAGTTACTATGAGAGAGAAAAATAAGTGCATTGGAGGAGCATGAGAAGGAAATTGTCATATCATATGGAATAGAAGGGGAATCAGCAAAGGCCTCAAGACATAGATGATATTTGAGATGAGCCTTCATGAATGGATAGAAATCCAAAAAGCATATGAGAATAGGGCATTCACACACAAAGGGCATAGTGTAAGTGAAAACAGAGACTGTAGTTTTCCTTATACTTAGCGTGGGTGTAGACTAACGAAAGGGCACAAGACTGAAAACCGAGACCTTGTAGAAGGTCTTGAATACTATGCTGAGATCTTTGAGAGCAGATGCAGTGGAGTGAAAGACAAATACTGGGCTGGAAGTATGAGATAGTTATGCAAATTTCAGTGGTGACATTTATGAGTTGAGTGAATTTGGGCAAATCAGTTCATCTCTTTGAGCTTTGACTCCCTCACCCGCAGTATGGGTGTAGTAGTATTAAAGGTTGAGTGTAAATTTAAAAACTTGTATGAAAGTACTCTGAAAACTGTAAAGCACAACAGGAGACAGCATGGTCATGGTCATCATCGTATTATGTATATAATGGTATGTGAAGATTTTGGAGCCGTGAAGCTTTTTATCTGCATCTGCAGTCTAGGAAAATTGAGTTGGCAGGAGTGTAGTGGATGGATTAATAATAACAAAAGAAAGAGAACCAATCAGGAAGCTATTAAAGTAATTTAGGTTAAAAGTAATGAAGGTGTGATTAGGATGGTAGAGACATTGCAGAAATACTGTTCTATTTGGCATTTATTCAAAAATATACTGAGCACCTACTCTGTTCCTGGACACAAACTCGGCAGTCGTGCTTAACAACCTCCTCAAAAGAGACAACAGGGATAGATACAGGATAGAATGCGCAGATACTTGGGGAGCAGAGGTAAGAGGAGAGAGGGATATAGAAGAAGGTCACTGGATCTTCCTTTGCTTTCCATTGGCGAGACCTCGTAACAGCAGAATGGAGAAGGGACATCTCAAATGCCTATGAGCTTAACCCACCAAGGCACAGGTGTCATGGTGGGTGAGAGATGATAATAGGGTCAGTAAATCCTTCCAGGGTGGGTTTGACCTCTCTTTCTGCTGCTCTCTGTCTGCGTGGATCTGCACTATCCGAGGTGCTGAAGGAGGAGAGTTACCCAAAAAAAAGGCACAAGACCACCCTCAAGAATTTCTTTGACTTAAAAACCTGACAGAATCCCTTTTCCCCAAGGGAGGTGAGAAAATGTCTTCACCTAAAAAGAATTTCTCACTTTTCTTAAAGTGGATCAACTACTGCTTCTATGCTTGCTTAGGTTTGAAAGAGGAAGGAAATTAAAAAAAGAAAATAGGGTTCAAAACCTATCTGTAAACTCCCAAGTAAGTTTCCCGGTAATCAGAAATTGATTGATTCAATTTAATTGTACAATCATTTAGTGAATGCAGGTAACTTCCAGGAGATGGAACCGAAGAAGAAAACAGCAAGTGGATAAACACCGCTGCCCCCTCTCACAGTTTAGTGAAAGTGTATGTCAGAAAGCATATGACAGATGATTGTGTGTTGAGCTAAAGTTGTATTCTTAATACTGTGTTATAAAAATGATAAGACACTTATTTCCCTCCCTCCCTCCCTCCCTCCCTCTCTCTTTCTTTTTCATACGTGTGATTTTTTTTTTTACTTCTCCATGAAGGAGATTTTTATGAAGGCCAAAGTGATGTGTGGGGCTTATTGGAAACTCATCCTAATACTTGTTTCTAATAAAATAAAGACTCCTCTCATAACGACCCTAAAGTCAGAAGTACTTTGTACATTTCTACAGAAACACCCTGTGAAATTTTGTGGGATTGAGTCCAAGAGAAGCAGCCCCCTTTGTTCGGCATTTTCCATAGAACTTTTACTACTAGGTTGTCCCTTTACTCTGGAGCTTAAACGAAATGAAAATAGGACAGCCTTGCAGATCTTTTTACAATATAAAGGGAACATGGGGATAGCCATGGAACCAAGAATTGGTAAAATTAGGAAAAAATCATGAAAGAGGATCTCACATCCTTTTTAAAAAAATCCCTTTCATTCTTTATTCATCTCTTCATTCCAATCACTTCCCAGTGTTATTAAGGCAGGCTCAGATAGCTACTGACTTTAAATACTCCCTGTATTACAATGCTGTTTGTTTTTTCCCACCATTTAGGAGATGACCTGGCTCCCACCACTTTCTGCTATTCCAGCACCTGGCAAAGTGGAACCAAGCAAATTTCCATTTCCAAATAAGGTGAGATCTTGTAACACTCAGGAGCAGTATGCTTTACTCACACAGAGATTTTTTAGTGGATAGTGGGTTTTCCTGTGATTATTTTTCCCTCTGTAAATATTCCTACCAGAGGCATATGGCTGATTTTCAACAATTTGCAAGCATGTGTTTATTCATCAAAGGGAGAAAATTAAGCTTCCCCTTCCCTACTTTTGGCAAAATGTGATGCATATTATAATTGTCATTTTACCTAAAAAAATTTGTGAAGTTGAAATGCATCATACGATCATCTTAAATATTCGGTGTGATTTTCTTTTTTTTCCTGAAAAGCTGTTATTAAATTAATGATGTATCTTAAAATCAATGTCTTAGAATTGAGGACATGTAGTATATAATTCCTCTTCAGTATCTTTTATAAACCTTAAAATATTTTCTAGGACTTTAAAAAACAAATTTCCATTTTCTAAGGACAAGCACACACTCAAAAAATCAGCCACAATATATTTAAATTATACATGAGTCTAATAGGTTTTATTTTATGATTTTTAACCATACAACTAATATATAACTCCATATTCATAAGGATGAAATTATGCCGATAGAAGGAGCAAAATATGAAAGTGTCCAGTACCCGCATCCAAGTTTTATTTCCCTACCCAGAATTTACTTTCAAGAGTTTGGTGAATAACATTCCACTCATCTTCCCTGTGCATGATATACATATACATTCATATGTTTCATCTAAGAGTTTTTAAAAACTCTTAGATGGTATAGTTCTAAAAACATTTCTTCTAAAAGTTGATTTTTTTCAGATACCATGAATACATATTATTGCTAAATATTAACACTGCAACCTCTTAAAGTGAATTATTAAAGTAACAATTCATTATAATATCACAGTGGTAAATTTCATTCTAAGCTGATTTTTATTTCCCTTAACAAAGTGTATTTGGAGATCTTTCCAAGTAAATATATAGAGATGTTCTTCATTCTTCTTAATTGCAGCAAAATATTTTGTGGTATGAATTTGTTGTAGTTTATTTAGTCAAGCTCCTTTTGATGGACACTGAGATTGGTTATGGTTCGTTATCACAAACACTATTACAACCAATATTATTTATAAATGCCTTTTTGTATGCCTCTTATTGAAAGTCTCTAGAATAGATACCTAGAAGAGGATAGGTACTGGAGGCATGAGAAACCATAGTTAGCCTTGACTGTGTTTCAGCAGTACTTCTTTATGCATCTTTGCCAATGTTTAACATTATCTGGCTTTATATCATTGTGTCTGTAGTGTGGGTGAAAAATTGATATCCCATTGTTTTAATTTGCATTTCTCTAATTACTTCTGAGTTTGAGCATTGACTATTTTTCCTTTACAAATTGCACATTCATATCCATTACCACTTTAAAAAAAATGATTTGTACAAACTCCTTATCTTACTCATTTGTCTGTTATATATGATGCAACTATTTTCTTGCTACCTTATTTATGTACCTTTTATACTAGCAAAGTGTTTAATTTTTATGTCAGAGAAAAATGATTTTTCCTGCTCCAACATTCTAACAATGTTCTCTATTTTATTATCATTTTTTATAGTTTGATTTTGGGGTCTTAAAACAATTTTTTGTAGATGGTGTGACAAAGGTTTCTAGCTTTATTCTTTTCAGCAGTTAGTAAATTACTGTTAACACTATCAACTGATTACCCCATGTTCCCCCCACTAGTTTGAAATACCACCTAAATCAACAATTGAATTTCTCGTAAATACATGGATTTGTTTCAGGACTGTCCAGCCTCTTTTTTTCAGTATATTTATCTAATTCTTGACCAATAACTCATTTTTAAATCAGATATCAACAAGCTTTTTCTGTAAAGGATCAGTTTGTAAATAATTTACCTAAATGAATAAATGTGACTAGGTTCAGATAAAATTTTATTCACTGAAACAGGTAGTGACACAATATATAAAGAACTCTTACAACCCAACAATAAAAACATAACTCATTTTAAGAATGGGCAAAGGAGGGCGCCTGGGTGGCTCAGTTGTTGAGCAATGGCCTTCGGCTCAGGTCATGGTCCCAGGGTCTCTGCTCCGCGGGAGGCCTGCTTCTCCCTCTCCCACTCCCCCTTGCTTGTGTTCCCTCTCTCGCTGTGTCTCTCTCTGTCAAATAAATAAATAAAATCTTTAAAAAAAAAAAAAAAGAATGGGCAAAGGATTTAAATAGACACTTCTCCCAAGGAGGTCTACAAATGCCTGATATGTATATGAGAAGACCCTATCACCATTGTTAATCATTAGAGTTCCAAATCAAAACCACAAGGAGATACTTCTTCACACCTACTTAAATGGCTAAAATCAAAGACAAACAATAACCAGTGTTGACAAGAATATTGAGAAATTGGAACCCTGCTATCAGTTGCTGGTAGGATCCAAAATGGTGCGGCCTCTTTGAAAGACAGTTTAACAGTTCCTCAAAAGGTTAAACATCAGGTTATCATATGACCCAGCAATTCCACTTCCAGGTATATGTACCCAAGAGAACTGAAAAGGAATGCTACCAGGTGTTACATATTTATTTACTGAACTCCTTTTGTCCCGGGAGATTTTTTTTTTGGTGGACTTATATTTTCCAAGTGGGGAAAAACAGGATGTGTAGCAGTAAAATATATGACATGTTAGATCATGATGTATACTGAAGAAACATAAATCAGGAGAGGAAGATAATGAATGTTGATGGTGAATGGGGATGGATGAATTTTAAGTAGAGAGCTTAAAAAAGACCCTCCTGGGGAGGTGACACTTGAGCTGAAGGTAGAGAAGGAGCAACTCATGCAGACAAGTGGAGGTAGAGACTTCTGGCAGATGGAGGTGAAAGTGCGTGGACGCTGGAGGAACAGCAAGAAGAGTGGAGTCAGGGCAGAGAGAACCAGGCGAGGAACAGTAAGTGACACTGTGAGGTAAATGCAGTCATATTATGTTTGGACAGTAGGACCATTCAAAGGACTTGGGTTTTACTCTAAGTGAATTGAGAAACTGTTAAAGAGTTTTGCAAATAACAAATGTTTCATTTTACCCTTCTTATTGTGTCGATGGGAAGCTGTACATCTTTGCCATATTCGTGACATTAACAAGGATGATTCTAATCATTGAGTGTGGTTGTTATCAATAGGTATAAGAATTGCATACTGTGTGTCCAGCTCAGATAGCTTCCTTCTATTTCTAGCTTTCTGAACATTTTCATGGATTGATTTATTTTTTCATTTTTAAAACTTAAGGTACAATTTGAAAACAGTATCCTGCAAGTTTTGAAAAACACATATGCTCCTGAGACCACCTTACTCAAGATATAGAAGCATTCCATCACCACCCAGAACTCCCCCTTGGTACTTTGTAGTCAACGCCTCCCACACACCCAACCCCTGGCAATTACTGATCGGTTTTCCAGAGTATACAGAAATACAACAAGTTTGAATTTAGTTGAAATTTATTCAGTATTTATTGAGGTGTTCATAGTTTTGTTCTTTAATCTGCTAATGTAGAAAATTACATTAATAGATTGTCTGATTTTTTAATCACCTGTATATTCCTATGATTAGTTTCCCTGAGTATGGTGTATTGTTCATTTAATATACTTTTGGATTCAATATGCCAATATTTAATTTTAGAATTTTACTCCCATGTTCATAAGTCACCTTGGTCTAGGTATCTTTTTGTGTACACTTGTTCAGTTTTGACACCAGGAATATAATAGCTTTCTATAATGAATTCTTTAGCTTTCTACCTTTTTCTGTATTCTGGAACATTTTACATGCCAATTTCCCCCTCCTTAAAGGTATGGAGTAACTCAACCATAAAACATACTGTCCATAGTTTTCTTTTAAGAGTAGATCTTTAATTGTATTTTCATTTTCTTCTATGCCTATTTGCTTTTTCAAATTTTCTACCTCCTCTTGGGTTAATTTATCTTTCTTTGTTCCTTTTTTTCCCCCTTCAGGATTTTCAAACATATACATAATACTCTGTTTTTCTAGTAATTGCCTTTAGAATTTTAATACATTAGCCTAGTTAAGCCTATTTTTATCAATACCTACAATTAACTCATATCTGTATTCTACCCCCAACAATTAGTTTTACTTTGATCTCCCTCACCATCATCTCTCAGTTTGAGATTACAATATTTCAAACTGTTGTTATTATAACCATTTTTTAGCATTACACCTTAACAATTATTTGTTAGTTTCTTAATTGGCCATTGTTTCTTGTGTTTCTTGTGTCTCAAGCCTTCTTAAGATGTGCATATTGTTTTTGCTAGAGTGTATTTTCAAGGAGGTTTTTAGTCCATACTTAACCTAAAGTCTCTGATAGTCCTTTTCTGCACTTACCTTTAATCCTTCCACGTCTCCTCTCTGTTTACTTCTTCGGTGATTTCATCTAATTATTTCATCTAATTGTTGCTTTAAATACTCTCTATGCCAAGCTTATGACTTCTAAGTTTGTGTCTCTAGCCCCTTCTCCATCCCCCAAACTCCATACTTGTAGTTCTGCTTACTTACTCAACATCTCCTCTTGGATACCTAACAAACATCTTAAGCTTGCTATATCAAACACTGAGCTTTTAATCCTCCCCACAAGCCTTTTATCCCAGTGTTTCTCAGTAAGTGATTTCTCCATTTTTGCAGCTGGCTCAGGCCAAAACCCTTGGAATCATCTGTATTTGTTTTCTAAGGCACCTGTAACAAAATACACAAAGTGGGCAGCTTAAAAGAAATTTATTCTCTCATAGTTCTGGAGGCTGGAAGTCTGAAATCAGGGTGCCAGCAGGGCCATGCTCCCTCTGACGGCTCTAGGGAAGAATCCTTTCTTGCCTCTTCCTAGCTTTTGAAGACTTTCAGTAGTCTGTCACATTCCTTGGCTTGTAGTTGCATCACTTTCATTTCTGCCTCTACATACACATGGCTGTCTTGCCTCTCTGTGTCTCTGTGTCTATAAGGACAGCAGTCATTAAATTTAGGGCCC